TCCCCACCGGACCAAAGGCGAGCACGTGTATGTCGAGGGAGTGTGCCCAAACCTCGGGGCACCTCACTGAGGTACATTTTCTAGTAGATCCACCGACCCCAACTAGATTAAAGGGCTAACGGGTTCAACGAGTTACTTAAAATTTGCAAGTAAGCGCTAATTCCCGTGGTTAGTTTGAAAAGGCATTTATGCTTAATATACTCACTCAAGGGGTTATTGTATGCTGTGGCCCCCCAAGAACCCCTCAGTAGTTCAATGCCATCATCCAATCCCTACTGGGTCGATGGCCGGCGTGTAGAAAACAGGAAGATTGTGGGTAATTTAACCTACTTAAAGTGGGTAAGTAGGTGGTTGTAAAACACAAGGACCTTTCGAAGACCCCACAAGGAAACCCTACCGCAGGAAGAACTGATTGCTCCAACTTGCTTCCTGCCTCTAGTATATCAGACTTACGGGTTCACAAGTTTGTGAGTGAGCATCTGCAGCACCGCTTTGACGCTTAAAGGCCCTTGACAGCCTCCAGGTCCTGTTGAAGATTTTATATTCACATGCCGTTGTCGCAAATACAGAAGTGACAATAAGCAAAACCTCCCCTTTATGGCGGACAACGATCTACCTGCCATTATACTCTTCAGCCTTTGCAGCTTTTTATAGCCTATCGATTTCCGATTATTCGTCGACTTTCCCTTGGTCTGATTCCCAACCACACACCTGGCCGCAGAACTGATTGCAACTTATCTCCGAACGTTGTCCAAAATGTACCCCACGTAATCTTTCAGCTGCTTTGCTGCAAATAATTCCATGTGTTTACTGCACTTTCAATGTTATTACTAGCTCTTAGTCTTTGACTTTAAATCATTTACCCACTCTGTGGTTTCCGTCCCTGTTTCTAGTCTGTGGAGCATTCGGAACTGATTTTGTCTCCGCTGGGATGGGCGCACAAAATACCTTCTTACTTTTCCATGTTCACATTTGTTTATCAGCGTCATATTTATTGAGACCACTTATTCAGTCTTTTGTCCCGTTACTTTCAGACACAAGTGAAGAAGGCAAAACGGAGGATAGTCATTTCCACGCTTTATCTTGGAACCGGGGAACTTGAGCAGGCACTTGTAAGACACTTTCCTTCTTTGTCCCCATGTAGCATATGACTTTTGTCT